TTCAATGAAGCATCATAATAAATTGGGAACTTTACAGTTATAATCAACAACTCTAACTAGCCTAGTGTAAAAGTTATCAGGCTGTTTTGTTTCCTTTCTGGGGCAAAATATAGCCTTTTATTGCCTAAAACCCTCTTTGAAGTTTCTACCGTAATCCTACAGTAATGAAGAGAGATGAGTGATTCGTTCTATAATGCAAATCTAAGTTGAAGCCAGCTCTACAGATTGGTACCTGAAGCAAGGGAAAAGACTTCTTTAGAACAGAAATATTAACGATCAAACGTTCGATACATTTTTTTGGGACACCCTGTTTAGTTTTTTTGCACTTATTAGCCGCACCCCCTTTCAAGAACATTCCTCGAGGAGAGACGATGCTTACCCCCCTACGAAAACACGCTAGCCTTGTTGACAAATCTGTACCCTCCATACCCGCGGCAATCACTCGCCTCAGTCCAGTCCTCAACTGTCAACATATAAGTACGACGGCACCTCCGCAACTATAGTTTTTTTGCGCTTATTAGCCGCACCCCCTTTCAAGAACATTCCTCAAGGAGAGACGATGTTTACCCCTCACGAAAACACGCTAGCCTTGTTGACAAATCTGTACCCTCCATACCCGCGGCAATCACTCGCCTCAGTCCAGTCCTCAACTGTCAACATATAAGTACGAACCCTTGCCATTTTTATTATAGAATGATCGTCTCGAATTTTTCTTCGCGCATAGATTTCGCCTGACCTTCCACAAATCAGATTGTAAACATACCATCACGTGCAACATATCAACAGTCTCAAGACGATGTTTCCGCATAAGTCACATGATTACATATGCGGTCCTGAGTAAAATCCATAAAATAGGCAAATGTCGCTGGTCGAGGTTCGATGTACTATGAGCTATTACCATAAAAAAATGCCTCGTGCAAGGTTGCTGCCGCATCGTCTTATGTGAGTTATATCTTCGGAAATCTTTTGCTTGCAGGTGGTAAAGATGTTTCAACATTTCCAGCTTATGTTCTCAGACGAAAATTCTGCCTTTGATGTGTTTACGTTTTTATTCTGTTTTTCTCTGCTATATATGCATAGAGTAACTGGATCTTACGGTAGAACCAAAATCTGACGCTTTTCGGACCACTGTTTTGAGAAATACTGTGAATTTGATGGAAAATTTGCTTCTCCAAGCTTCTGAGAAAATCTAATACTTGTCGTACACTGAAAAGCGTGAAATTGAGGTTCGCCGTCAGAGGGCTACGCATCGCAGATAATGTTCGGAAATTTCGACCAAAAATGTTATCTGATAACGTTTCTTTTGTAATCTTTGACTTGTAGAAAGGTTTTTGTGTAATTGGATGTCACTAATGCAGGCGAGCTTTGACCTTAAGTTAATCTTGTTTTGCTTCTAGAAATGAAAATGCTCGAGTGACTGGGTCTTGCTGATGGAGATGAGTGTTTATTTGGGAAAATACTCCCTATATCATAGAAAGGAAAGCGCTTGAAAGCGCGCCCCGGCAGATCTTGCATTTCCATCTTTCTGCATGTGTTAAGCTTTTTCGACACGTAGAACCCGAATTTGAGCTTTGGACCGGGTGAAAAGAACGTCTTTGGAGCGTTTACCCAACGATTTTCAATGAGAAGTTGGGAAGCCCTGGCACGAAGCCCTGTTGCCTATAATTTTTGCTGTGGTTAGCATTCACAATGCGTGAGCGGTCTTGGGGTCCCGCGAAGAATGTAAGCGAGGCTATGTGAGCCCGCCCCGGTTGCGGTTGCGCGGCCCGTTCGAGGGCTACTCGGCGCACCGGGAACTCAAGTAACCGGACTGGGCCTGGAAATTGGTGCGGTGATCAGGAATTCCACCACCGCTATATTCCACAGGGCAAAAATCTGCCGGGACACTGCCTTTGAAGGCAGCGTCGAGGCAAATCTGGACTATTGGGCTTTCACGTGGATGGTAATTTTGGGACCCTAACTATGCCTCTGAGATATTCGCCTCAAAACTGGACCACGGGATCGTATTTCGCATAGATTCATAGCGCAACCCATCAATTTTGCGCGTGGACCCATGGGTTGCGCCATGAATCTATGCAAAATACGATCCTGGGGTCCAGTTTCGAGGCGAATATCTCAGCCGTTAGAATACTACCTGAGCTGCCGCTTAGGCAGTGGCTTAATTAGGGCCCCAAAATTACGATCCGCGTGAGAGCCCCATTTGTCCAGATTTGCCTGGACGCGCCTTTGAAGGCAGTGTCCCGGCAGATTTTGGATTTCCACCTTTCTGCATAATTTAGATCTTTTCGACATGTAAAACCCGAACATGAGCTTTGAACGGGATGGAAAGACCGATTTGGGGCGTTTACCCAATTTTCAAAATGCAGCATGGACGAGTCTCAATTCGAAAGTTGGAAGGCCCCGGCAGGAAGACCCTGTCGCCTGTAATTTTTGCTTTGGATAACAAGCCAATGCGGGAGCGGTCGTGGGGTCACGCGCCGAACAGACAAGACCGCCCGAGCGAGCTCCGGTTCCAGGGCTATTTTCTCTACGCAGGAGGAACCAGCCGGACTGGGCCTGGAGGTTAGTGGGGTGACCAGGGACCCCACCACAGGTATATCCCTAAGGCGCAAATCTGCCGGGACACTGCCTTTGAGTAATTCGGTTTCTGGTCGAGACTAGCGTATACTTGAGGAAATTTAACGCATCAGTAATTGGGTCTCGATGGTGGAGAAAAGCTTTCATTTGGGGAAATCCAACGCTTTGGGTAACTGGGCCTCGCCAGTGGCGATGAGCGTTTATTTAGAAATTTTGCTTTTTCCTGGAAAAAAGGAAAGCATTTAAGCAACTGGTTCTTGCTGGTGGAGAAAAATGTTACTTGAGGAAATCCAACGATTTGGGTAACTGGGCCTCGCTGATGGAGATGAGATTTACTTGAAGAAAGAAAGTTTTGGGTAACTGGGTCTCGCTGGTGGAGATGAGCTTCCACTTGGGGTAACCCATCGCTTGAGTAATTAGGTCTCGCTGCGCGGATGAACGTTTACTCGGGAAATCCTGCTTTTCCTGAAAAAAATGAAAGAATTCAAGCAACTGGGTCTCTCTGGTGAAAAAGCTTTTCTTCCTGGGAGATCTAACGCTTCAGTTAACTGGGTTTCGCTGATGGAGATGAGCTTCTACTTAGGAATCCTACGCTGAGTAGCTGTGTCTCGCTGGTGGAGTTGGGCTTCCACCTAGGAAGATCCAACTGGGTCTCGCTGTGAAGGCGAGCGACTCAGGGAAATCATGTTCATCTAGAAGGGAAAGCTTTCGAGTAGGGTTCCGTTAGTGGAGATGAGCTTCTATTTGAGGAAATCCCACGCGTGAGTAACGGGGTCTCTTGGTGGAGATGAGCCTTTACCTGGGGAAATTGAATTTGAGTAAGTGAGTCTAGCTGGCGAGCTGGTGAAAATGAGCTTCTACTAGGGAGAACATTCCTAATCTCAAGAAGGGCCGTTGGAAACGAGAGCTAGCTTGGGGAAATCTGCTTTTCTTAAAGAAGGGAAAGGACTCAAATGAGTGGGTCTCGCTGGTGGACGTGAGCGGTCAATTAGGGAGATCTCTTTTTTTTGTATGAAGGAGGACTTGAGTGATTGAGTTTGGCTGGTGCAGCCAGCGCTTGTCTCAAAGGATTATGGGTAACATTTCGTTTCGCAGATAATTTGCAAAATTTGAACGCTGATTTGAGAGCATTTATCGAAAGAAGATTTCTTAATTAAAGGAAAGCATAAGAGTAACAGGGTTCGTTGTCTTGTTGGCGGCCGACTTTTCGGAGAGCTCACTACCGGAGATTGATTTGGTGTCGCCGAATATTCGCAAGATCAGTAGAGGAAATCTGTTCTGCGAGCTTACTTGAGGAAAATCTGTTTTTTTTTTTTGTTGAAAGTAAAGCGTGTGAGTGTGGGTCTCAATGATGGAGGTCATCTAGCGAGAGGAACCTTATCGGGAAGCGCCGTTTAATTTCCGAAATTTTACCAATAATCTGCTTTGTAAGCTTCGTAGGGAAACCTCACTAACGCTTGTAGAAAAGCGAGTTACTTTGCTCGAGTCTCGCAAAAGGAAAAGGCTCAAAGGTCAAGGCGGAGTCCAGAGAACTCTATCAGATGCTCTCACCCGATAAGGAATCTACCTTGTAGCAAATTTGATGATTCGGCGAAAATTTTTTCAAAATAAGTAGGAGTATGCAGGAAGATGTCATTGAAATGCAGAACTTAAGCTGCTTCAATCCACCTATAGCGACCCGTAGGGTCGCTAGTCACATCAAAAATACGAAAATAGAAGATGTATGCAGTGAGAATAAGGCAAGCGCTATACTCCTCGAGGAGTATAGCACGGCGACGAACGATCCCGTCGTAGCTGGCGATCGCCAATACCGGCGACTACACATTTGATAAGTATCGATTAGCGACTGGCGATCGCCAATCGCCAAACAAGTTACCATACTCCAATCGATACACATTTAATGTGTAGTCGCCAGCACTGGCGACTGGCGATCGCCAGTCGTAGCGACTGGCGATCGCCAATATCGGCGACAAAAATCGCCGGTTTTACACATATTTGAGGCATATCGATCGTCGCCATGCTATACTCCTCGAGGAGTATAGCACCTGCCTAAACTGCATATAGGTACGCAAATCCAAAAATGTAGTTAGTATCATCGTGCCGATGATGATGCCCCGCCGCGACCTTAGGTCACACCGAGATAGGCGTGGCCGAACTTACTCCCCTCTCTTCACTTGCATATTTACCGTGGAACAGAAAGGTATCGTTCTCCTGCTCGCATATCGCTGCACTCTTGTTAACTCATTAATAAATCCTGAACCACCGTCTTTTGTACTTGTATTCTCGTTACGGGCAAAACCGCCCAAGAGTCTCTAGTACCCGCAATAGTTAGGAACTGATGAGCGCGAGAAATGAAAATTGTCGAGACTTCAGAAAATGCAACGTTAGTGTTCTGTGTTCTGTACATATGCTAGCAACATTACCTGAAGAAGATTTTTTGCTAGCCTCGTCTTTCCAGTGTAGATCAACACCATGCGTTTGTTAATCTCCATCTCGAATTCCTTACTGATAGAGATGGCTTCCGCATCAACGCTCATGTCGTCTTCAGATACGAAGCCTATAAACCCTAGTAGTCAGATGTTCTCATTGAAAAACAAAGCGTTAAAGAAGCTGCCAACCTTTCTTCACCCCTGGATATAGACATCCAACTTGGTCTTGCCACCCACCTCCAGTTGTCAACAGCTGCTCGACCATTAGCACCTAATAAGTAGATGACAGTTTCAGTTAAATTAGATAAGCCCAAATATATTTTTTAACCGAAACAAGTAAATACTCAGAGCATAACAGAACTCACTGCGTGACATATGTTCTTTTCTGTATGGGGTATAGAGCTGCTTGACCACAGAGCCTTGATTATTGCAGCAGCCAAAATCGAAGACGTTCCGAGCCCTTCAAAAGCTTCCCGTGTTCAGCAAAATGTCGGCAACGGAAAGCATACTACCTGACCCATGTGGTAAACATGACTGGCATTCTATCTCAAGTCCACTTGTAGTGAACATTCTTTTTAAGGCTGAGCCAAGATCATCTTCGCGTGTTCTTGAAATTCCTACGCATACCAGACATGCACATATCAGAGCCCCTATACGACTGGCAAACATCCAAACGAAAGAATTTTAGAAATTGAAATCACCTGGATTCCCTGGTTTGTTACAAGAGTCATGTATCGCCGATGAATTGACAAAGAAGAGTGTGGTGCCTTCACTTTTTACAGTAACACCGTTAATGGCTGATGGGCGAACATGGCATGTGATAGGTTTCTGAAAGCAGTGATCAACTTGGACCCACAATTGAAGGAGATCTTATGACAAGAAATTTTGATTTCATTCACTGTCGCACACAGCGTCTAAAGTCTTTATTGGCGCTGCTTGATCAATAGACTTCCAAGTTATCAATGCTTTTTTTGTTCATGCGAAACAGTTGTTCCCAGAACTGTACTTTCTTGAAGTTCATTAAAATATCTATTGTACATTAAGGTGGCGTACCGAGGGGGGGGGACGCCCCTTTCCCCCCCCCCCCCCCAAGAGAACGCGTCGCGAAATTTTTGAAAGTTACTTACATGGATTATAAAATTGTGTAAACGACTTGTCTGCAAATTTTTAAAAAACTCATTTTAGCCTTACAAAAAAATTTTTTTTCGGAAGCGTGGCTAACGCCACGCCCCTTTTTTCTTGAATTTTCGGCGTTCTGGACCCGCGAAAATTTTAGGGAGCATACCAAAAAATTTTTCGGAGTGCGTAGCTGACGCCACGCACCTCCATCGAAGAATAATTTTTGTCGCCCCCCCCCCCCCCGAGCCGAAATCCTGGGTACGCCACTGCTATATTAGTATTTCTTTCATACACCATTTCCTGTTGCGCAAAACACCAATCTTCATATGTCTGTAAAAACTTTTGAAGACGAAGAAATCGACCCTTCTTAAGCGCAAAGACAAAATTTTTCCAGCTAAGACTTTGCAAAGCACTACCCGAAGATCCTCTACTCAATAACTCACGGGGAAGCTTCATAAGCAGTAAACATAATTAAACAACATAACCATTTCCACGCTTTACGGTAAACCAGCTGCCCCGCGTACAATTATTGTCCCTTGAGCACATCAGACAGAAGTTTGACGCATTCTCGACATTTTCTAGTTTTTATGCCTGACGTCTCATTTACACACCCTGAACACTATCGCCTCTTATCGATGGGTCTAGCCACAACATGCACTTTCGACCGTCGCCTCGACACAAACGTGGCAAGTGCAACGTCTGTTTACTTTGCGCAAACTTTCGTAGCGTCTGTTCTTTGGATATTCTCCTCTGGCCTGTTCTCAGGCTTTCTCGACAGCTGGAGCTGCTCTTCTGTTTCGAATTTCATCACTGCAACATTCTGTAGTGGCATTTGACGTAATATTCGGAAGTTAGATTCATTGCACTTGTATTGAAATGACGATAGGCATGATATTTCACCAAACATTTCCCATTGTGAACAGGTTTTTCGTCCCCTATGACCCATAAGTATGGTTCTTATCGTTAGTGCAAATTGAAATGATAATCTTTCATTTTGTTCTCTTTTTTATTTCTGGGCAATATGATTGAATCATGATAAATTGATAATCAATCGGAGTGTTTCCTTTATGATTAGTTCCTATAGGTCAAAAGTTCTTGCATTCAATTCTCATGTGACAGGGAAATGTCAAAGTCCTGATTTTCAAATTGCTCGACTGGTCGTCCTCTCATGTTTTTCATGAATGCCAGAGGACAACCACGTGTTGTATTTTTTGTTGACACCCAGCTCCCTACTCTACCCTTACTCCGCTCCTCTTCATTGATTTTGAGCTTACATTTATTTGCTGGAAATTGAACTATAGTCTGATTTAGCATCATGATTAGGTCTAAAAGATAACTAACAGGAATGTTCAAAAAATATACGCTTTACGCCTTTCTTTTTACGCTCATATCAAATCACATTCAAAATGACTTGACAGCATCCGAAGTCCATTGTTTTTTTTATACAATGTACATCTGTACCTAATTATTAGAGGGTACGCGGACATCGTACATCTTTTTTCTTCACTAAACCTTGATACAAATCGACCTTTGTTACTTTTACAGGAAGCCTCTATTAATAGTGCAGATGTAACATAAATACTTCGTCGCAATGGTTTGTCTAGCATTCAGCCTCGTTCGTTCATACGCTGAAGAGCAACTTTTGTTTTCTTCGTTTCTTCACGGATATCTCTCGCATTGACGCAGTTTCTTTTAACTCATTTGTTGTGCCGTTTTATCGTATATTTTCTTCATCCCAGCAAAATCTTTCACGAAATTTTCTTTGGTATATTTTATTAGGACTCTTTAGCTTTCATCACAAACTGTATTTCTCGATGTGGTGCGAAAGCCTTAGCTTTGTAGGTCTTGAAGCGCTTATAATATTCATTCCGCTGTTTCATTTTTAGATGATTCGACTTTTGCTTTTGCTAATATTTCCATGGTCGTTATTTACTTTACTGCTGATAATTGCTGTAGCATCGTTTGGAGGAACTATAGGAATTCGAGAATTTTATGTGGAAAAATTAATACAATTGTTTGAGGTATGTTTTCTTTTCAGAAACATGGATGAATCAGTCATGGTGCAAATTCCTTTTTTTATTTTTGATTATTTTTCGTATTTTTCTACCGTTCCGTTTTTATGTGCTACTTATTACCTTTCTTGATCATCTTCATTTTCTATGGTATTATTGGATCATATTTTATATGTGCCAGATGTAACACTATCAGCGTGCTCGTCATTCCCAGTCTCAGGATGGGCAATTTTATTTTTTTGAAACAATCATTCTTGGTAACGTCCTTCTCAGTTTTAGAAAGTGGAGGTGATTTGAGCAGCTGTCATTCATTTCTTATTGTCAGTCACCTACTCATGACAGTTGATTTGCTGTAAAATAGCATATCTTGCGCAGGCGTTACCATAAAAAATGGCTAAACATCATTATCATTTCCCTCTGAACACATCTGTGCCGAATTCGCAGCTTTACCAAAAAAAATGACGGCGATGTTAGATTTGACATGCTCACCTACATCAATACTATGGTATCGTTTTTGTTAACGGGCCAATATGCATACAATTTTATCTAATGCATCCAAAAGATTTGAAAATTGCTATTCATGCTTACATATTCCAGTGGGGAGCAAAAATCTCCAACGACTATGAATACGATGAACCACCTGATCCATCTTCTACACCTACATCTGGAAAAAGACGAAGACGCTCTTCCGGGGATCTGCGTGAGTTGTTACTGCCGCTCAAAATCAGATCTCATTTTGGTGTATAGGTATCATCCTTCGAGAGAAATCCGATCTCATCGATTCTGAGCTACGCTCTACCGAAGAACCTGAGCACAGAAAAACCACTGTGCGCACTGTTGTTGACGACAGTATCGATTTCATAACGGTAAATACTCATATTAATTATTTTCTGTCGGTTGAATACATGCTTTCTTGCACTTCTTTAGGCTGGTATAGAGGTGATTATTGAAGATCAGGTGACTAGTCGTTTCCGAGCAGAAGAGCTTCCCTCGTGGAATCTTCTTACTAGAACTAGTTATTCATTCCAGCATATCAAGTGAGCCGTTTTACCGTCATTATTAATACACTATTTCTTGAAAGTATGTCTTTTAGCTGGAAGCTGTCAGTATTGTGGATATGTGGATTCCTTTTCCGCTACCTCGTCCTCGTTCCATTTCGCATAGTATTATTTATTCTTGGCATGTCTCTTATGTGTTTTGTGTCTTACATCGTAGGCTATATATCCGATAAGAAGTAAGTGATTTGGTCTTGGTTTGAGTTCGATTTTTCTATGACGTTTTCCTACAGAATTAAGAACTTCTTTTGTCGTCATGTGATGCTCGCATCGATGCGAATCTTCTCTCGGTCATTCTCAAGTATCATCCGATTTCATGACAGGTATGGTTATGCAAATTGTCACTTTTTTAACATTGATTCGTGTATGAATTTGCAGGGAAAATCGAGCAAAGAAAGGAGGCATTTGCGTTGCGAATCATACTTCGCCCATCGATGTTATGCTTTTGAGTTGTGACAATTCGTACGCTATGGTCGGACAGAAACAGGGAGGTATTTTAGGTGAGTTGAAAAATGCTTCTGCGTTTTTATTGTCATAGTAATGTGGTTTTTGATCTACAATAAAGAACATCGTGCGGTCAACTTTTAAGTTTCCTAGCAGCTTCTAAGTCTTTTGGGGTTTTCGAAAACTGCCTTCCAAATGCTTTATTTATCTTCAGGATTCATTCAAGATTCACTGAGTAAATCTGCCGATCATATTTGGTTTGAAAGGAGTGAAGTAGGAGATAGAAAAAAAGTGCTACAGAGGTATGCTCCCGCTTGCATTATAGTTTGTCTCAGAATTAGTATGATATCGATCGGTGCTATTTAGGCTCAGGGAACACGTGGAGGATGAAACCAAGTTACCAATTTTGATCTTTCCGGAAGGAACATGCATCAATAATACATCAGTGATGATGTTCAAAAAAGGCTCATTCGAGGTGCGAGTATCAGGTGACTTTAGTAAAAGGGTAAAGCTTAACTCAATCATAGCCAATTTGCAATTGTAGACAAGGGGCAATATGTGAATACGGTTTTCCTATCGCTTTATAGAGACGTAGGTAACCGTTATAAGCTCTCTCACGAACAAATTTCCTAGATACTAAGCATTCTAGAGGAGCTTGGTTAGTCTGAATCTGAAACTTTAGGTAGCCAACACTATCTATCCCATGGCTATAAAGTACGACAGCCGTCTGACAGATGCTTTCTGGAATAGTCAGCAACAGTCCTATGGCGAATATATGTGGAGGATGATGACTTCATGGGCAATCATTTGTGATATTTGGTATCTGCCACCTATGACTAGAGAGGTTAGAACTGTTTATATACACTAATTATGTATTTTTTCAATCGAATTTTTTACCTTTACATGATTTTGTTTTGTTTGCGCAGAGTACTTACATATACGGTGAATCTCCCGTTGTTCCCATGTAACTATCAACTGGCTCCCTTTCAATTATTTCAACACGTTAACTTCAGCAAATTTAAGGCGCTTATTCGAACCTGACATGTTGAAACGATCGAAAGGCGGTCAGTTGATAGTACGTATGGAAAAAATTCTGGGGATGCACGATACATCCATGAACATATACGCGAGCTTCCAAATAAATTTAGGCCGGAGAAGATGCGATAGCTTTTGCAAGAAGAGTGAAGAGAGCAATTGCCAAGAAAGGTGGTTTGGTGGACCTAGAGTGGGATGGTCAGCTGAAGAGAGCCAAGGTAATTTTAGTAAATAATGAGATGGTGCTAATCTTTTGCTGAGATGCTTACTCAAACAAATAATCACTCTAGGTATCGTCGAGGCTAGTTCAACTGCAGCAAAAGCTTTACTACGATCGATTGGCGAGAACTACTAGCATAAATGATCTCGAAGAAGAAATGAATGCACTAAGTGTTATGGAAGTGAGTTTAGATTTCTCTAAATTTTTTTTGCTTAGAAACTTATGATGCTAGGTTTTTGAGAAGAAATTTTATCTTACTAGGATTTCCTAGTGTGTTCAAGAACAGCGCCAATGCTTGCCGACGTCGTGAACGCTAAGAATCTCTTTTATAACATAACCTCGAGGAAGCCGCAGTTTTTTTCCCGTCTCAAACTTGCCTAATTTGCGTTTATCCATAATTTTCAGTCCATGGATGAGAAAGAGCGTGAATCTCTCATCGATCAAATACATGAAGGCGATGATGACAAGGAGATCATTCGCAAGGTAAGCTACTGGCATTTGTGGTTTTATGCTGGAGGCCATTCGGCGGATTATAGCGCACACATTTCTACAGTTCAAAACCAATTTTCTAGTCTCGCAAGCTGAGCGGCTATTTTTTTTAGGTCAGTAAGTATGGAGTGGACCTACACAAGCTTTCTGAATTCTTAAAAGCAGCAGGTGATGCTGAGGCCAGGAAACCTTGAGAAAACTTCTTTTCTGTACAAATTGTATATATGCTTTAGTTGCTGACATGTTTCGGTTTTATTTCTGAGACTGCTCTTATAAGTTTTGCTCACATATGACGTGTTTTATGCATTTTTCCCCATGCCATGAAGACAAATTTTAGTACTTCTAGATTTGTGAGGTCATAGTTGATCTGATGAAAGTGCAAGCAATCATGAACTTGCTATATTGAAGAGTCTTCGTTTTCTTTAGTAAGTTTCGCCTTTTCGATAAAAGATTCTTACCCTTCCGTCGACAGTGATAGCCATATTCACCACAGCTGAAGGTCTGGCGTGTAGAGTTATTGGAGGTGTATCGAGCCATCCACCAAAGAGGTCGATCTAAAATTGGAGAGCAGCCAAAGTAAATTTTATATCACAGTTGTGACCCACCCTTGCAGCTGCTTCCACTGTGAAACTTTTGGGAGCAGAAGGTGTAGGTCGTGTTTCCGGTGATGGAATATACTAAACGCATGTGTTTATAATTATAAAACCTGCCTGCGTAAAAAGATAACTCCAACTTACTTTCTCGCATATTCTCTTTACTTCTATCTGCGTATAGATCTGTGCGGCACCTTCCAAATGACGAGCTGAAATGCTCAGATGCATTTGCTACCCACAATTCTGTGCCAGTTATCCTTTATCGGTTTCGCAAGGAAACAAAAAAATTGAATGCGTTAAAAATTCACGAAAAGAATAGCATCAAGTGTGAGGATGCTAGGGAGGATGTATCTGAGGCAGTGTTCTACGGCTTCTGAAAATCTTTGGCATGAAGGTATTGGCGAGAAATGCGTTGATTTGGAAGATGCATTCGTTAAGGTTTACCGAACTTACCAGCTCGTATCATATCGTTTTCGCTCCGCATCCATTTTTCTTCAATGATTTGATAGAGTTCAATGATATTTTGCGTATCCTCTGGGTTCTGTAAAGTGTATGGTTGAAAGAGTAACATGGGAAGGATAGGGTTTACCTTTTTGATGGCTTCAAAGATGAGAGAAAATGTTGGATTGGCTGCTGGGCCACTTCGCAAACCACCTTTTCCATGAGCGCTAAGTGCCAAAAATTCGGCTGTCAGCATGAGAGCTCGTGCACAGTTGGGAACACTTTCTACACAGACTAAAAAGGAGCATTGCCTTGGTTTGGCTATAAAGGTGAGCTTGCAAAGCCGTTACCCTTCTCCAGGTGCTTGAAGATGTTGAAGCTGTCTTTGCAGTAGGAGTTGCAAGCTATCGCCGTTTTTAGCACAGCCGTGGTGTAATACTGCTTTTGGCTTAGTGCTAGCTCCCTGATACGCTCTGACATCACATCCCGAAGGTGATGTCTAGAAAAAATCAAATCCAATTTTTTGGATTAAAATAAAAAGCGACTTACATAACTGCCTCAGACGTCATTGTTGGATGTTTCCCTCCAGGAGATCCAAGATATTCGTACCCTTTAATTGGTAGGCAGTCTAAAAACAGTCAAGCTGTTTTTCTTCAAGTTGCGCAGACATATGCAAGTTAAGTCCACTGCGGCGGTGCGCTCTTGACGCGTTTTGGTCTCAGATAGAGCACGCGGATAAAGGAGGAGCAGACATCAGAACCGCATCGCAGCAGCGGCCGCATCGCATTTGTCTATTGTTAAGTATTGATGTAAACTTAAGTTCATGAATTTTACTTATCAATTTATGAACTTACATGCTCGACTTCTCAGATGATGAAATCGCTTCCATATTTCCTTTCTCGAATGCTTTAGTAGCTCAATATTTTTCTCAGATTTTTCGAATACATGGGTAGAAATGAAGTCTTCCTCAGATAAGCAAGTGGCAAGAATCAGATCGAAGAACAATGAGAGCTGAAATGATTTTATAATATGTGAGACATGAATTTAAAACACTTTTTGTGCTCATATTCACTCCGAATATTTTACTCTTTGCACTTGTAATTTCTTCCTATTAATCAATCATCACTTTTACGCATGGCTTGGACAGCCCTTTTCAAGTTTTGAATGGAATAATAATTTTTTACCCTTCTATGAATTCATCTGATTCACCCCTTCTCTACTTCTTCCATTTATCTTAATCACTCGTTCAAGCAATCCTTGAAAATGCATTTGGAGCGCAAATCACCTTCAGTCCTATAGCTCCGCTGTCTACACCATAATATGTCGAGCGAGAAATTGGATAAACAGAATAAAGTGAAAGAAATCGAGTTGATATTGAAGGAGGAAGATAAATTAGACCCAAAACTATTTTGGGCACTGCTTTGGGTGCATCGCATTTGTAGTCTATGGACTTCACTATATTCTGCAAGAAGAGTAGTTGAGCTGCTTGCTTATTTGAAACTTTAGCCTGCATATTCCAACCTCATCGCCTAGGTCAAATACTCCGTGAGTATGACAGTCATCTGGATTTCCTTCAAAGCAAAACGCGGCTATTTCCGCATCATTACAGGATATTTGCACAGCATCTACGATTTCCCAAAGCGCATCGGTGCCTACATGGAATCTGTAGGAAATTATAAGTAGTGACTTTAATTACCACAAATCCAGACTCCTTTGTCGACGTTCTCAGCTAACATGTTGATGTTTCTGATAGCGTTCGCTATAGGACAGTCCATTGCGATCCATGGAGTTTCTAGCACACCGTTATCAGGTGGAACTAGAAAAGCAGCACCTAATGGAAGAAACTTGCTGGAAGCACCCTAAACAAACAGACTCTCACAGCTAGAATCTCAACAATTTAAGATTTCTTTACCAATAATAGAATTAGAATTTTGGAAGATTCCAGCAAAGATTCATTTAGAACGGAGAGACCACGACTGGCGCAAAGGTGCTCAGCCTTAAAATTGATAACGAATAGATTGTGAAAATCAAATTTGATAGAGGAACAATATTAAGGCATGAAAACGTTACACAATTTATATCGGCGGATTAAAACAACAAAATAAAAAATTATCAATCACTTAAAAAACAAAAGTTGAGTATTCATTATTCTCAAGGCGTTTCAAAAAACCCCTCAAGAACTTCTAGTAGTTGCTTGATCATTTTCGCGTTTTTCGAACTTATAATAAGAAATGAGAGTTCTGCTTTTCTGGTGAAATCGGAATGATTGCGAACCTACAGTGTTCAGTAATGCATTCAGAGCGCTTCCAGCAGAGCCTACATCATCGCAAGGATCCGAAACGACAAGCATGTGATCGGTCTCGAACATTCCACATTCTTGCAGAAACTTCATCACTAAATGGCTTCCCTTTTATCGGTTCTTAGGCTTTTTAGTATATCTGCTTATCTACTTTTCCTTGCTTCCTGCACATCTTGGTCCACACGTATCGATAAAACCACAGTATCCCATTTCATTCTCGAAACAGGCGGAGGCGAAAGATAGGTCCCTTTGATTCAAGTGGCTTGGCGGCTGGAAGGTGGGGCTTCGTGACCTAATTAAGGCTAGATAATGATCAGAAGCACGCGTGCGAGAAAGGCGCAGACGCGGCGTGGGCGCAAGCGGCCTTAATTGGCTCAGAAAGCCCCGCCTTCCGGCCGCGAAGCCAGTCGAATCAAAGGTTACAGTGCAGGAGAAGTGACTAAATAACTTGCTTTTTGATAAAAATACTACAATCATGTATGAATATACCTTATCAAGCAATGATACTTCTAGTTATTCAGATATATTTTCGATTTTTTTACTCGTTGATTATCATTACCAACATGGTTTCTTCAGAATAGACGAGCTTTCAATGAATACAATAGCGAGACGATTTCAGAAAGCAACCTTACACCTTTTTATCAATTAGGAGATTTTACAAGGAAGTGGAGGCAGCGTTCGCAGCTGTGTCACTAAAGAGATTTCAAAAGAAGTAGAATGAAGAGTTGAATGATGACATTTTGCAGATTTATCAGCACAAAGCAACGGCTCCAATATGAACAGAAGAAAGTATTTATAGTGGAATTCGCATTTTTCGGACAAAATTACAAAATAAATAAAAATAATGAGATTTAAATTGATGGCTGTGTAGCCGCTTAAGATGTGATGAAGGGAATGGAAGCTGAATGCCAGAGGAAGAAGTCAATCATACTCGAAAAAAGATTGGTGCTTTTGGTTACTACTACTTTGGGAAAGTACTACGCATATTCCGAAAATTTAGGAACGAAAAACTGAAAATTGTTAAATAAAAGACGGTTTGTGGGAAAGTTCGGATTGGAAGGATTGAGGATGGTTGTCCTCCACAAAAAAATTGTAGCAAAATCAGAAGTAAGCCAGATACATTTAAATGTCTTGATTTTCAAGTGATTTCTGTTATGATTTCTTGATGTGTTATTTGAGAAATCGCTCTAGAAAATGGTGACATCGCTTTACTTGACTTAAACACCGTTGTACATTATAATGGTTTCCTTCTCACCGCCTTAGTTAAAGAATGAAAAAAAAGCAACAAACGAAAACAAAATGCCTGGATTGACATATAAAAATAATTCAAGTTCAGAAGCTCAAAAAAAAAAGAAAAGTTTTTGAGGAAAGTGAGGTGAAGTAAATACTAAAATAAGCTTTTTCTTTTGGAAAATGATCGATCTTCTTGAAACATAGTACAAGCCAAGCACCTTAGCATGAAAATAGTGTGATTATAAGCCAGCTATGTCAACTTTGCATGGGAATCAATACTGGACACGAGGACGTTGCTGGCTGCATTACAGCCACTGTGATTAGATTTTGCTTGTCATAATGTGAACAAAAGAACTAGTGTTCATTTCAATGAATAAAATACCCCTGTCGATAGGAACTATGATGGAAAAAATGGGAGGTTTGTAAGCCGCAAATCTCATTGCCATGTTTTAAGATAAAATTTTAGCATAAATTTTAGTATGAACTATTGTCAAAACAACCTATCCGAAAAATTTAAATTGTTTAGTTTCAAAATATAGCTTTGAAGAATTCGCTAAATCATTAGCCGCCTATTCACCCCTTTTAGAATATTATTAGTTGAAATTGTTAGCGAATTTTCTCGTCAATATTATTAGTTGAAATCGCTAGTGAATTTTCTCGTCCATTGGCTTAATAGTTCATTTAACAGTAAATATTATGGGTTTGATTATACCGTTTATTTTTAGGTTATTAGAAGTTTATTTGATTATTTTGTAACGCAGAAAAAATTTGATTGGATGGAGATTATATTGGAAATTAGTATGTTTGATATCCAATCAAGGGGTTTAAAAAACTAATTGGATGGGAAATTGGAAAGAAAACGTTCACTACTCTTGAATACATACGAATCTGGCCTAAAAAGCTTGAGATACGGAGCACCAAATTTCCCACCTTCTAAATATCGCCTTTTCGTATTAAATTCTTCTTCTAATTTTTGGATAAGTGACATAAGATTCTAAAATGTTTTTTATTTTGCTACTTGAGTACAACCAGCCTTTTTTGCCATTAAGTTAAGAAAGAATTTCTGCTCTTCCATCATATCACATGCAACACTCGAGTCTTTTCGCACGAGTAGCGTTTGAGGATTTCGGAAGTTGGCGAGCATCAGTCTTGAGGTCCCCCCTTTCCTTCACGCCCAGGGTTCCCGACGGTTAAGTCCGCCTCGGGTCAAGTTAGTTATTCAAGCCCTGGTGTAAATCTCAGCCGTACTCGCGTCTAGGTTTGGGACTAGGATCTCAGCAAGGAAACCTCACCTTCTAGAAAAGGAGAACGACCTGATACCGCGGCGGAAGACGAACTTAGGAACAAGAGCAAACTTACTCAGACAATGGATCGGACCCCTCCGCTGGGCAAGCCGAAACTGCCAGACTCGCGCCGGACCCAATTGACCAATGAGAGCGGGGCAAATGGGCGGTCCCTCGCGTGACATCACTGCCAGGCAAATGGGAGGCTTCTCCGGCCCTGCTGCAAAGGTCCGTCATTTCTCCGGCGCGACCCTGGCAGATTTGCCAGGCTCGCGCCGGACAAATTTGTCCGGCGCGAGCCTGGCAAATCTGGCGGAGTCGCGCCGGAGAAAATGGGAGGGGTCCGGAGCAGAAATGGGAGGCCTCCGGAGCAGAAAATGGGAGGTATCCGGAGCAGAAAATGGGAGGTATCCGGAGCAGAAAATGGGAGGTATCCGGAGCAGAAGATGGGAGGTATCCGCCGGAGAAATGGGAGGTATCCGGAGCAGGCTGCGTATCGATTTGGCGCGTAGCAAGCAAACGTCTAACTCCACGGTGATGAGTCCTCTGTTTACGCTCTTTGTCCATATTTTAGTCGCCGTTTCTTTGATTCTGTTGTTTTTGCGCGTTTCTTTACCGTTTTTTCCTTTTCCGCGTTGCTCTTCGTCGCGTTGGCGTTTATGTTGCTGTAAGTTCCTCGTTTTCAGGTTTATGTTTGAAAATTTCGTGCGGTTGCACTCAATCACCTTCATTGTTTGGCTCTTTCCGATTTGCTGAGACATCGTAGACTATTGATGGAGTGGTTTTTGTGATTAATTCTGGATTTTCGAAGCAATGAGGTTAGTTGCGCAACTAACTAGTGTTGTTGTGATGAAAGTATCGTCTAAATAATCCGTTTATTGCTATCTCCACCGATGAATCACTTTGCCGTTTGCGTGGTTCGCATCTCGCGTGTCTGTGTGGGATTATCATGCGGTTCTCCGCGAATTATCAATATGACTGTTTTTCACATACCATATTTTGTTTTCAGGGCAGAGGTAATGAACTGCTGTGAAGAGCATGCATTGCATTGTGCAGCATTGCTTTCAAGATTTTCGTAATGCAGTTTTTTTACCTTCAGCTTTAGCACTTCTACTCTTTCTGTTGTTGTTGTTGATTTTGACTTCAGTTTAGTATACACTATGTTTAGACGTAACCAAACCAACTCAAGATATCTGTGTTTACTGGTATGGATCCTATTTACGATACAGAGGTTGTTTTCACCGAGTTTTGCGCCAAAACCAGTGCGGACATTCGTAGTGAATACTAGTAAGTCACAGCTCTACTTCTTTTCTCGAGGTCTCGGGAGTTTTGATTTTTTGAATGTCTTCAGATGCCGCTTTGCATTCCATCAATGCAAATGTTGAGCCATCTTCAGGCGTTTGCACGTTTCCCGCGAACAGTCAGTTCCCTGATCGTTTTATTCTTTGGTATGTTCAATTTACACTTTATTACGAGTTATTGATTGGTTGGGCACGGAGCTCATGCGTATGCTTGCGGCAATGCTTGCGCCGTTTCGCGCATCTGTTATACAGGGGTTTTCAATCTGAGTGTCACGGTCGACGTGGTTCACCCCCTCTAGAGCCGCGTCGCATGGGTCTCTCACGTAGTACACGACCGCACCCGGTAACGCGAAGGCCTTAGCGGATGCGGCCTTGTGCCACGTGAGAGACCCATGCGACGCGGCTCTCGAGGGGGTGAACCACGTCGACCGTGACACTCGGATTGAAATCTCGTTTAATAGATGTCCGCGGAACACTCCAAATACAAAATCTTTTCAGAGCTATTGATGAGTTCATCAGTACTCAGCGCATTGTCGACGTGGATGAAAAAGAGTGAACGACGGTGACTTGGATGAGGTTAACAGGGCAATCGAAGTAAGTCTTCTAGAATACCACTTTTCTTACAAGAAAATTTGTTGTTTTTCGTATTGATGCTCTCTTATCGTGACTCTTGGAAAGAACTTTACAAATTAGAAATTATATGGCTCCAACGTTCCTTGTGATTGCAGTTTTATGTAATTCCATGTAATCCATGTAATCTTCACCTCCATGTAATTCTTACCGCTTTTTTAAAGTGTGTACATATGTATATCTATAGTAAACTGAGACGTTTTGTCCTAGAATGGTCACGATGTCAATCAGCGCGATCTCGAAAAGCGGACCCCGCTGTTCATCGCTGTCGGCATGAAAAGGCTAGACATCTGCCGAGCACTGGTCGAGCGTGGAGAAGCAATCATCAACGCTAACTGTAAGAATCTACTCAGCAGAGAAATTGGGCAGAGGTCATGATGTGACTTTCAGGCGGCTCCGAATGCAACACTGCTCTACATATCGCTGTCTCTCAAGAAAGCGAGGAGATTGTGAAGTATCTGCTGTCCAAGGGGGCAAGCAAAACGGTATGTGGTTCGTGATATCTCTTCAGCATGACAATATATATTTGGACATCATTCAGATCCGAAACATTAGACAGCAGACCCCATCGCAGCTGGCGCAATCTCGCTCGCCATTGAGATCGCTCGTGGAAAAGTACCGAAGTTATCCGAGACAGCTTGGTAAGCATTTCCTTATTTATCTCTTCTTCTGTCATTGTTGATCAACTGACAACATGATTTTTTTAAATTCTAGTGGTTCCACGTCTTCCTGACGTTCACATTGTGTGCTTCCCGAAAAAGGTGAAAGCAAGTCTCACCTTTGCTGAGCAAGCAGCATTAGAGAGGATTATGACGGTAGGTTCATTCCGAAATTTTGTCAAATGTATTGTGATTGTTTATTATAAGGAGAAGGTATTGATTCGTAGTTCTTCAGAATTTTATTGCAAAGGTTTACTTGTGTTTTCCAGTACCCTTGAAGTTCAGGTAGTGCCAATATGTGATGAGGAAACGACGCACTATGTCGTTGCACTTGACACTGAAGGAGTCTTTTTGCAACTAGGAAATTAGCTTTTCTTTGAATATTCTTATCTCTAACTCCTAGTATGGTTTTTGTAATATGAATTAAATGTTGTACGTATGCTGGAGATAGATAGATAGATTTTTCGAAAGTTTGAAAAATTTGAAATAAATGTCTTATCTCTCCGTTCTTTCTTCTATCTTCTATCCATAAACGCTAGGGGTGAGAGGGAGGGGTTAGAGTACGGGGTGAGGGTCGCGCTAAACTCCTACCCGGGGGGGGGGGGTCCTATTCGGCTTATTTGGGTGGGGTTTAGAGACAAAATTGGGGTTTGGAGCTTAAAGGCAGCGTCCAGGCAAGTCTGGACCTATGGGGATTTTACATGGAAAGTATTTTGGGGCCCTAACTAAGCCACTACCCAACCGGCAGCTCAAGTAGTGCTCTAACGCCTGAGATATTCTGCTCGAAACCGGACCCCGCGACCGTGTTTCGCATGGATTCATGGCGCAAAGCGTGGATCCTGGCGCGAAACTGCCATGAATCCATGCGAATACGTTCGCGGGGGTCTGTTTCGAGGGGAATATCTCAGCCATTGGAGCACTACCTGAGCTGCTGCTTCGGCAGTGCCTTAGTTAGGGCCCCAAAAGTACTTTCCATGTAAAAGCCCCATAGGTCCAGATCTGCCTGGAAGCTGCCTTTAATTAGGGCTAATTACGGCAGACGCGGAGCACAAAATCGGGGGGCTCCGGCGCAGAAAATGGGAGGTATCCGGAGCAGAAAATGGGGAGTATCCGGAGCAGAAAATGGGAGGTATCCGGAGCAGAAATGGGAGGTCTCCGCCGGAGAAATGGGAGGTCTCCGCCGGACGAATGGGTGACCCACCGCTGGGGAAACGCCGCGACCCTGCCATTTCCCCAGCGGAGGGGTCCGATCCATTGTCTGAGTAAGACCAATCATTTTTTGTGTCGATGTTTTTATGTTTCAATTGTTGTTTTGTGAATTTTTTTTGTGAATTTTTGGCACACTTTTCGTGTAAAATAAATAAATAAATAAATAAATAAATACAGACCAACTCCTGACATACTAAACGACCACAAAACAAAAGAATTTCTGATTTTTGTGAGCAAATGGATTGGTAAAGTCCGAAAAACCGCGTAAATTGCTTTTACCGACAATTCGTACAAAAGCAGACATTATGAGTTAAACAAGAGTTTGGGGTAGTTAGTTTAGTGACAATGATCTGGCCAGTTTGACGTATAGCAGACTTTGTAAAATCGCTTTTTCGCCTCCAAACACCTTGCTCAGATAATCGCCGGGGGCAGGCGGTCCGCAAACTCGCGCTTTTCTGCAGGCGGTCAGCAGAATTTTGGGGCGTGGCCAAACCTTCAGCGGGCGGTACTTCCGCGTTCTGCCAGCGGGCAGCAATACAGAATTTTCTGCGAGCGCTCGTCAAATAATATCCTTCAGCGAGCGCTGGCCAAACTTTCAGCAAGCGCTCGGACTCTTTTTAGGTATTTTCGGGCGTACGTCGAGCGCAGGTAAGACTCTGTGTGGCAGAGGTGTCACCGTTGGTTTAATTACTCAAGTTTGAGGTACTTTCTCTCAGCGGAAAGTACCTGGGGGTTGCGCGGTCCTCCACAAAGGATCGTGCGGCCCTCGAAATTTTTGCATATTCTCGCGGAAAGTCCGCGAGAATGCGGCCACTGCGCCGCAGCTAATCCATAAAGAAACCGCGACTGTTCTTCAAGCATTCGTCTTTAATTTCGCCAATTTTCTTCCAAATTTCTGCAAGCGGGCCGCAAAAAATCAACGAACTATTTTTCCGGTGCGCGCTTGCTCAAAATTCGCATGGCCGCCTGCCCCCGGCGGTTATCTGAGTGTGTGATGAAGATGAGACGGCGGGGACACAAGATAAAAAAGTGTCAAAATGGCGTCAATCTGCCACCGACATCCAAGCACTTTTAGCTGCCACATGCTCCACGTTACTCAACATGGGCCAACTAGTTCGAATAGCAAGAATTCGAAAGTGAGAAATTTTGTGTCTGTTTTTGCGACCACATACAAAAATATTAATATTCCTCGGTAGCTTACTAACAGCGGAAGTCAAAACAGAAAGCGAAGCTGGCTCTTATGAGGCAGATAGAAAGATGAGTAGTGATCTAATTGTAAGAGTAAAACAAATTCGATTTGTGTAGTCATGCAGTAGACATATAAAAGAGGCTTGTGCCACATCATCTGAACAAAGAAGATTTTGAGTCCTGGCCTCAAAAGTTTAAGGTAACACCCTATTAATTTGCTGAGTACTCGAAAACCTTGCTAAGAATTAGTCTGAGCGTCTATTCTGCATGAGTTTAATATCTGTTCTCAAAGGATCTCTGTTCTTGGAGGCAAATTTTTCGATACTATTAACGCAGAAAATCATATATACAAACTAGACTTACAATCGCTAGAAAAATATAGCTATGGTGGCTTAAGCCACGTATTTCTTGTTTTCTTTCTCCAAGTTTGAAACGATTTTTGGAGGCAGGCAATCCTGTGCTTGCCGTTGTTATGAGTGGTAGTGACCATTATGCATTAAGAAGCTTGTTTTAAGAACTAAAACTTGATGTGAACTTGTTCCCTTATCAAACCAAACATGCTACGGTAGAGGCAGCAGAAAAGTTGCTAATTTCTTTCCAGGTTATTTTATCGCGAAAACAGTTTATTCACTAATTGTATACTAGTCCGACGTATTACTAGTTTAGTTCACTAATTGTATACTAATTCGACGTATTCTCAACAATATTGTGGTGAACAGAATATTCTAAGGGGCTCATCGCAATATGAAATACTCAGACACTGGAAGCGGACGAACCGCGCCCCAGTTTCGGCCGGATATTCGCAGCTCCCGCGGGCCGGTCGTAAATGAACACTCGGCCCGGCCGTAAATAAGCCGCGGCTCGGCCGCAATGGCTCATATGGGATCGTTCAAGCACCGCCAAAAGAGAAAATCTTAGCTGCTTCGTTTAGCTTATGACGACAATAGAACAAACACAATTCATTCAAGATAACTCCTTTATCTTTTCTCCAAAATATGCATACACAAACTTGCAAACAGGTTATAGTGAAGCCACGAATCAAAATCATGAATAGATCAACGGATGTGCAAAAAAAAACATGGAATCCTAATCGCGTTGTTCCTACTATCCCCTGCTTCTCAAAGACGCACGTATATAAGTATTGTCATCTATCGTTTCGATGTTGTTCTCGGACACCTCTTCCAAAGCCCTCCTTTTGAGCCTCTGAAACATTCGAATATAGCTTAAGAGCCAAGTTTCATATACGTGAACTCACATTACTCATTGTTTCCATGTTGCCTTCAGGCACCTCTCCCAAACCTTTCTTTCCTGCCTCTAAAACATTCGAATACCTCTGAAGAGCCAAGTTTCATATGTATGAACTCACATTACTCGTTGTTTCCATGTTACCCTCGGGCACCTCAGTCAAAGTCTTCCTTTTCTGCCTCTGAAACATTCGGATATCGCTGAAGTAGCCAAGTTTCATATAAATGAACTTACCTTACTCGGGCTCCACGAATTGTCATTCTCCTTATACTTCGATGCTCGCACATCTCTTCTGGAAGGCATATTTATTAACGATCAAATTAACATTGTTTTCACCACGTACAAGGCTTTCTGTAGAGCCTGGTACCCATAGAAGCTAAATCGAGAAAACAGTACACTAAATGTCTCTTATCTTTTCTAGAATTTCAAAGCACCTGGACGCTTTCCAAATCACCTTCAAAACCAGGTATTAGCTCCTCGTGTCCGTAACCTAGGGCGTCCTCCGCAAAGCCTGAAATGAAACGACATTAAAAGGAACGAGAAACATTACCGGAAACTAATATTTTAGCTACCTATAAGTACTTCTTCTATGTCTGGAGGAAGACCTTTCAATTTTTCATCCCTTTCACCCGCGTTATTCACACGAAAAGCATATTCCGTATTTTGCTAGGCGGGTCCGTGATCCGAAACGATACTTTTTCTAACAATTTTATGGCTACTGTTACTGCATACCTGCATTAAAAGAAAGCGATACATTGACAAAAGGCGCTGAAAAGTTCTTAGATTTTTGCGTGGCCGCCACTTATTCGACGTAGTGGTTACAATGTTTATCTAAATAGTCAACACATTTACTTACGTCCAATTTTTGGAGATTACTACCTCTACAAATAATTACTGCGCCAAGATTTTCAAGGTTTTGTGCAGTTCTCTACTCCAACTTTGGGCAAACTTCTTGGTTAACGCTTCCCTCTTTCATTTCCAGTGTGCGCTCAACCTTTTTGATTTGTGCCCTAATGTCGCCCTCAAAGATCAGTTTGACCGTCATTCGGTTGCGAGAAAGAGGCACACAACCTGCAACCTGCTTGCAATAGCATTCAACCTCATTTCCCCCGGATCCTCCGTAGCATCAATTCCATCAAATATCATTTTCTGGGCTCGCGTAGCCACCTCTGATCTTGCAAACTCCTACAAACATCTATATACAAAGTTGTCACGAAAACAACGGGAAAAGACCAAAGCAAAAGCGAGTTAGTATGTCGAAGGAGAGAAGATGGCGGGCGTTGATTATTGAAAGCCGCGCCACATTTTTGGGTGAAACCAAAAAACCAACTAGTCTAATATATGATTTTTATATGCCTCACAAGTTTTTAAGTTAGCACTCACTTCATAGGCAGTTTGATTGAATGTATTAAGTCTTTTCTTCTCCATTATCAATTTCGCAGCAGTAGAAACAGAAACAGAAAAAAACAAAAAGAAACAGTAGAAACAACTATTGCGGTTTACTTGGCATAACTTATGAAGGAAGCATCACGGGAAAGTGTTAATTTTATATTTGGTTATACTCGAAATGGTCCAGTGTAAAATTTTTCAGGTTGTTTGGTTTGCTTTGTGAGGTGGAATGAGGTCCCTAATGGCTCACAACCCTTCCTGAAGTTTCCACAGTAATCCTACAGTAATGAAGACCGATGGGTGATTTGCTGCATACTGTAAATCTGATTGAAGCCAGCTCTGCAAAATAGTGCCCAAAGGTAGGCTAATTCTTCTTGGAAAAAGAGATATTAACGATGAAACAGTGTATACATAGTTTTGGGACACTCTGTATGTTGTTAAAGGATACGACTGGAGATTAGCAATACGGAATTGCGGAAAGAATAGGCGATTTGGCCCAGTCACTAGGGATTAAACGGGCAGATAACGGGGAGCCTCGCGGGAGAAAACCGGTCGGGAGAAAGCCAGACCTCCACAAAAGGAAACTATCGAGAATTGATCTTTTCCAGTCGAAAAAGGTTGGAACCCATTTACCACTAGGCACAGCCCCTTGTACAATATAATGCTACATGAATTATGTATTGTGTTATGTTATTTATCATGTATATATTATATTACATATATATACATATAGTACTATAGTCGTCCTCCCCCCACTAGACACCTAGTGGACGAATTCGAATTTGAAGTAGAGCACGCCGTTTGCGGCAGAGCGCGGTACCTGCAGCCCTCACTTTGATTTCAAACAGACGTTTTTGTGTTTTCGGAACGTTTCATCCTATTTTTTGAATGTTAGCAGTCTTCTTAACTGGATTGTAGACTTTGTTAGGCCCGTATGCACGTACATCCCCGCGGGGAGGGGAAGGGATCTGAGAGGGGAAGCGTCATATCTCGCTAGTCTATATACATTTTTTCTTCTTTCTCTGTCTTACTTTTGAAGGCTTTCATACACTGATACTTGCGCATAATGGATGCCAGGTTACTGCCATACAAGATTCGTCTGATCCCCTGGGGATCCCCAAGGGATCACCTCACTTTTTCAAAGTCATTTATCTTCCTAAAACTCAATGAAAATGCTCTAAAATTGTACTGAGGATATACTACAGCACTGCTAAACATGCTTATGGTAGAATTGAGCGAAATCTCAAGATATCAAAAGCTTCGATGAACCGCTGCTCGCGAGCCAGGGATTATCGAAAAGATCAAAATCTTCAGATTCCATTTCTTCTGTCGAAAACATGCTCAGCAGTATAGTATATCTTCAGTACAATTTTGCAGCGTTTTCATTGATTTTTCAGGAAGACAAATGACTTTGAAAATGTGAGGTGATCCCCTGGGGATCCCCAGGGGATCGGAAGAAATAGTGAATATCTAATCTTGTATGGCAGTAACCTAGCATCCGTTATGCGCAGGTATCAGTGTATAAGAAACTTCATAAGCAAGATAGGGAAAGAAGGAGAAAGATATGTAGACTAGCGAAATATGACGCTTCACCTCTCAGATCCCTTCCCCTCCCCGCGGGGATGTACGTGCATACGGGCCTTAGTCTTGAGTGATGTTTCCTGCTACTATGCTCGCTATTTAAATTCTGATTTCAAATTTAGCTGAAATAAAAACCGAAGAAGCGAGCATAGTAGCACGAAACATCGTTAAGCAGCAACAATTTCGTCGATTTTGATTACAAACATCATTAAAGCAAAAGATCACCATGCAACGACGAAGAAACATTAGAGAATATTGGATGAGGTTGAACTGAAGTTGACAATGCCGCGCTCTGCCGCAATCGGCGTGCTCTAGTTCAAATTCGAATCCATCCACTAGGTGTCTAGTGGGGAGAGGACGACTATATAAATTACATCATATCCTATAATGAGGCGCAGGATTACCATGAGTGCATAACTCTACCCCACTGAGGAGTCTTTGGCTACCTTGCATACTATCTATGATCCATCTTCCATCCATGAAGACTGTCCCAGTGAAGAACGCAACCGTACCAACACTTTTGTTGAATGGAAATCACTTCTGGCAATGATCGCTGCGAGATCATGGATAACGTGTTAATCTCTATATCGCTGGTCATAGAAGCATTGCAAGGGCCGCGGGTCGGCCGTCGCAATGAAGTGAAATTACTTCATGCACACATACATACATACATACGTCTAGGCCTTCTGCTATTTTATCTACTTTGTGTGTGGCCGGTTAAACAACTCTATTTGCATTTCCTGTTATTTTTATGGCTCACCTTTGAGTGCATTGAAATAAATAAATAAATAAATGTTCCGCGGGTCGGCCGTCGCAATAAACATGGTCCGCGGGTCGGCCGTTGCAATGAACAAGGGCCGCGAGCAGGCCGTTGGACTGAACCAGAAGCCGGGGGGCGGCCGATGCAGTGGACCAAGGGCCGCGGGCCGGCCGCTGTTGCGATGTAAGGGCCGGTCAGCCGTAGCCAAAGCACGCCTCCAAATTAAGGCCGCGGTCCGGCCGGAAAGGCCTTTTAGGGCCGCCGCTCGTCCACTCCCAGTGTCTGAGTAAGTAATTGAGCCATGTGTTCTTAAAAACGTGGTCGTAAGAATACGCAAACATTTGGAGTCACTCAAAGTTTTGATTGCGTCAAAAAATAAGCGGATTTCAATATACAACATTTGAAGCGAATATCTCTTCTATCTCAAAATTTAGATTTCATAAACGAATTCTACAATATTTAAAATAATTTCTGCTATCCCTAGTTGATTTGATCCATTTCACGAACATCACGTCTCACTAACAGAGCGGGGCTTTTTGGTCAATCATTGATCTTTATAATGGAGATTACGAAAACTTATCTTCTTACAAGTGATTCAAATGTTTCCACAAGGACCAATTACTGATTCCCCGACGCGCAGTGCTCGCGAGTGTAGCACTGTTCTTGGTTTTATGTTAATGTCCTGAAAACCGCGACCTGATGCAAGTTAGAATATGAGCTGTACAAACTGTAAATTATGGATGAACCAATTACTATGACAAATATCGCTGATGGTAATTGAAGCTTGTCGGTTATTTACTGTTGTGATATGGCGAAAACAAGTCGAAAGTAAGCTAATCCCTTGCCAGTGTGCTATAATTGTGACTTTGCTTCGAGAGTGTCTGAGCATTTCATTGAGAATTTCATTTCTCATCAACTGCAACATCATGACACGTTAGTGAATTTAACTTCGACTAGAAAGTGTATTACAAGTATATTACAATCCGTCTTAAGAGTGCGATGGCGCAAACGTAGTGATTCGGCTCATATACGCTGTGCCTTCATTGATACTGTATTTCGTGGTAGTGATAGCGCTATTCAAGTTCATGAAGTCGTCAAAGCAAGCAAAGTATTTTTATTCATTGCTTGTCGCGCAAGCGATATTGGTGAGCCTCATAACCAAAATTTTCGCAAAGAAAAGAACAGACTTTTTTTAGAATATGATAGCCTTTGTGAACTCTTTCTACATAAGTATGGCTTCCAATATACCCAGCAACAGCTGGTTAATCGTACTGTACACCCGTGCTCCTATCGTTCTGACGTCAATAGTGAGTTGAACTACATGTCGGTCAATTCTGTTGTGACTCAGACTGCGAGCAGAATGTGTGATGCAAAGGCATAGCATATGGTACGCTCGCAGTAAACCCTCGTCAGCTCACAATCAGTTGAACCGAGTTGATCCCCCAGGGTCAATAACGTAAGCTAGTAGGATTGCTTTAGTAATGCAAGTTGGACTGCCAGAAGACCTTCCGGTCAACGGCCGCGGTGGGTTAAAGGCAGTGGCTCGGCAGAATGAGACCCGTGGCAAAACAAGGTCACAGGGTAGGAGCCCCTAATGGAACCTAGGGGCCAAAGTTCGATCTTTCTCTGCCACTTCTAACCCCCGAAATTTCAAAGCGAAAGCAGCGCTCATCTCCTCTCCTCTCCGAATCCGCCCACCCCACGGACGAGTGAACGCGAAGCCTGCCATGGCGACGACGCAGAGTCGTTGCGGGACTCTTATGCTTATAGCATTGCGGAATGCGCGCTCTGACCGTGGAAGTTACTAGTTCCACTATGGGGGCTCCTACTCTGTGACCTTGTTTTGCCATGGGTCTCATTCTGCCGAGTTACTGCCTTTAAAGGCAGTGTCCGGACCAGGGCTCGCCATAGGTGGCTTACGAAGCAGGCTATGTATGGTTTTGGGGGTAGAAGCAAAGAGGACATCGTTTTCACGCTGTCTGGGGCGGGGCCCCCAAAAAGCATGCGTCAGATTAGTTTGGTGCATACGAAAAATCGCCAACCGCTTTGTGCGAATCGGAGTCTCGGAAGTGGTGAAATTTTTTGAAAAAACCTTCTGATTGTGCGAGGCAATCTGAACTGGGTTTCTAAAAGTCAACCGAGTAGAACAACTTCGATTAGTAGAGCAACTTCAGGCCCATCAGCCCAGCAAATTTATGCGGCCTTATCGCCCTATAAACGAAAGTTATCCCATCACTAATCTTAAAACACATACGTACCTCCATTTTCATTCCCCCCCCCCCCACATTCACCCTACTCTCTTTTATTCCAAATCTCATCTTCTTGAAACATCGCAAATGCTCTCCAGGCCCGATCCCATTCTCTGCAAAACCAGCAATTTTTCGCTTTGATAGCGCTTCGTGCAAGCACGAAAAGAACGTGCTCCGAAATAAACAGAAGGCTTGCTCTAGCGAAGGAGTGATATGACACCAAAATTAGTGTGTAAATGCGCAGTAAGGAGTTGGAACGCTGTATGAAAATATGAGAAAAATTACCTCAACGAAGGGCGTGGCAAACTTTTTTCTGAGTTAAGTGGTATTTCAGCCACCTGGAGAGCCACCCTAGGTGGTTCAGAGAAAAAAAAATGTTATACAGGGCTCTTAAATTGCAGAATCGTCTGCACCAGCGGCCGCGCAACCGCGTCGCGCCCGGGCATTTT